GTGCAGGCGATGCTGAAGCCTATCTGTAACTATGCATCCACACAGGGGCAAAACTAGGCTTTATATCACCCGGGTAAAAGAGCCCCCACACGCATTTGTGAACACACACACACACAGGCTAGGGGCCTCAATAGCGTCCTTCTGGAGGCTTCACCTGGGGCCCAAATCCCAGCTAGTCCCCCTGTGCCTATGGCATTGCATCCACACTGCATTGCTCAGTCTAGCTCCAACTGCTTTGATCCTTTTAAAAAAAACCACAGAGAGAGAAAAACAAATGGACATCCTTATCTGGGACTGAGAGTTATGTGCTACTAGAGCAGGACTGGGGCTATAATATCTAGGCAAGCAGCTTGGGGAATTTTCTGCCCCGAGCATAAAGAAATGATAAACAGATATCTGTATGCCGCCGCCGTCCCCACAATAAAACAGTTTTCTTTTAAATGATTTAGCTACCAATATCAGTTTTGTTTCCATAATATTAGCTATAAATCTGGATTTACAATTACTTTTAGGTATAATATCCATACCCTTGCTGGAACAGAGACATAAGCCTACTGCCAGTTTAAGAGCTTTGTCATAAGAGTAAATTATTCTGATACGATTTCATATTCTCTCTCTCTCTCTCTCTCTCTCTCCACCTTTTGTGAAGAGAATGAATATTTCTTAGACTCCGCTCTGCCTTTGCTACAGTCTGTCACCAGAATGAGTTATCACCAAATTTTAATGCTCCTATATTGAGCATTTTTATTCTCATTATATTCTCCCTCCTTTCCCCCCTTAATCTAGTGAGAAAAATTAGAATAATAAAAGAGGAAAATAGGAGGACATTTATCCATTCCCTTGACACTCTTGACACAGGAGCCTGGACAGAAAGTACATCAAACTATATTATACTAAATATAATGATGCAGCAAGAATGAAGGTTAAAATTAGTTCATTCTCTTGGTTCACCTTCAGGGCCTGAGAAGGGACTTCAATGGCCAGCATCACTTTCAATTAAAGAAAGAGACGGGAACAAAATACCATCAATGGCTACTTTGAAGTACACTGTGGAATTGTTTTTTAAAAATTAAGCTGGACTTTATTGGCCACTTTGGTGTAACAAGGTGGAGAACTGAAAACATAATATTATTTTTATAACTTCAAAGTGGCAATCCTAATCATCCATCCTAGGAAGTAAATTCCTTTGAACTTGGGCTAGGAAGGTGAATATATGGCAGAATATACCCATTACCAGCTTACAACACAGCTAGGTTGTTCTCCCCCCTCCCCCATGTGGATCAAAGCTGGGGTTTGGGAGTGGGAACGCATTATTATTTCATAAGAAATCATAGCATGGATATGGATCATGGCTAATGTTCTGTGTACACCACTTCCCAAAGAAGTGTTGGGAGCGCACTGAATGCAGAGCAAACGAGAATGTGTAATGTACACACCCTAAGTCTGAAAAGAGCCTGTGCTTCTTAAAATATGACCATGTTTACCAGCCCTGTTACATAGGGGTCTATTGGGTGCTAAGGATCTTACAAAATGTTGGGTAAATTCAGACAACCATCAGACCACCCCATCCCCAAAGTGTCCCTATTTTCCAGGGAAATTTTCCCTATTTACAGAAGCTGTCCTGGTTTCTGATTTGATTCCAGAATGCCCTGCTTTTCCTAAGGACGTCCCTATTCTCATCAGAGAAATGGTGGAGGGTTATGCGACCCCCGAGCCAAGGAGATAAGCAATTATACAACCTTTAGAAGATATCTGAGGGCAGCCCTGTATAAGGAAGTTCTTTGATGTTTAAAATTTTATTATGTTTTTATATACTGTATGTCGGAAGCTGCCCAGAGTGGCTGGGGCAGCCCAATAATATGGGTGGAGTATAAATAATAATTAAAAAATTATTATTATTATGTAATAATAATAATAATAATAATAATAATAATAATAATTTGTTATTTATACCCCACCCATCTGGCTGAGTTTCCCCTATTTTCATCGGAGAAATGTTGAAGGATATGTAACCATTTACCAGAGTGTAGCTGTGCAACTTGGTAAGCTGGTTGATGTCCTGTCAAAATGGGTTGGCATAATAGGCATGGTATCAATTTTATTTGATTCAGTAAACTTATCAGCTCACATCCTGGCAAACTTCAGTTTGGAGGGGCCTTGGCAACATGATTTCTGCTGGGCCTCTCCTAAATCAGTGAGTCACTGGCCCAAAGCTTACCTGGCAGTAGCTGTGGGCAGCTCTAAACCATGATTTTCAATTTCTTTCTTGATGAGGCAGCATGCTGGTATTTTAAATACCCAGCACAGGGGACCAGAACTACAGATCAGAATGACAAGCAGAAAATATTCAATTTAATATGTCAATTAGGAAATCAATTCAATGGGGTTTGCTTAAGATACAAAGTACAATGTTGCCATAAAGAACACAGGTGATATGTAAAGTGTTAAATTCACAATACATTATCGAAATTATACAAGTACTGTAATTTTTATTAAAGGGGCAGGGGGTACCAATAAGTTTGCTTACATGTTATACCACTTGGCTGTGGGGTGTGAAATGGTTTCGGTTGATAAAATGTGAGCAAACGTATTTGACACTTTCTAAAAGCTGATTGATCAGGAAGTCAGCATGCCCTAAAATATGGAAAGAGTTATCTGAACCCAGAAAAGCACAATGGTGGGAAGCAATGATACCATCACCTGTGGTCACTTTTTATATCCTTTGCTCTTTTACAGAAGCAATTTTACAAAGTCATCTCTCAATTCTTAAAAGAAAATAACACCCCAAGTATAGAACTCACCACCATCTGAGACACCTTTAAATGTGTTTCCTAAGGGTGATTTATGAGTGCCACCTCACTCATTAAAGCAGACAAAGAATCGGCCAGGGACAGCTTCCTGCCAGATATTGAATACGTAGAAACTGGGCTTAGGTACTATGTCTACAACCAGAAATATGCTTTATCATTCGGAAATTTAATAATACACAAAAAGGCCCTCCATATACACAGAGTACAATATTATGAACATGGCTGTAGGCCAAGCCTTCTATTAGGTGAACAGTACAGGCTTCGAAACTGTGCAAAATGATGCATTTCATAAAAATAAAATCCAGCCACTAAATCAGAAGATATGTCTATGATTTCCTGAATTATATAAACATCTCCATCAATCAGGCAGGCCAACCTTAGAAAATATTAGTTCATATATTTATTAGATGTCTAGCGTGGCTTTCCATCCAGGAGCAGAATGTCCAAGAATCCCTTACCAGCTCTTACCATGAGGCTCTATCAATGAGTCCTTCCCTTATGGATGTTGTGAGTTCAGTCTGGGTGGAACACTGGGTCCCTTCCCAAACCTTCATTTCTGTATCTGTGAAGGTAGAATGCACAACAGGAAGCCTGCCAAACTGGTCCCTTTATCGAGGTAAAGGCTGTAGCTGGCCAGTTAAGTGCTCATGAGAGCCAGTGTGGTGTAGTGGTTAAGAGCGGTAGTCTCGTAATCTGGTGAACTGGGTTCGCGTCTCCGCTCCTCCACATGCAGCTGCTGGGTGACCTTGGGCCAGTAACACTTCTTTGAAGTCTCTCAGCCCCACTCACCTCACAGAGTGTTTGTTGTGGGGAGGAAGGGGAAGGAGAATGTTAGCCACTTTGAGACTCCTTAAAGGGAGTGAAAGGCGGGATATCAAATCCAAACTCTCCAAACTCTCATCAGCACCCACCCTGTGGAACGCCCTCCCACCAGATGTCAAAGAGAAAAACAACTACCAGACTTTTAGAAGACATCTTAAGGCAGCCCTGTTTAGGGAAGCTTTTAATGTTTAATAGACTATTGTATTTTAATATTTTGTTGGAAGCCGCCCAATAATAATAACATATTATTATTATTATTATTATTATTATTATTATTATTATTATTATTATTATCTCAATGAATGATGGTGCTCTCCAAGAAAGGGGGTAGGCATTCCCACCCACTCCCCTCACCTGGCTGGAGGCTAGTGATCTCAGGGAAAAGAACAGTAGCGCGCACGCGCGCACACACACACACACACACAATTAAGTAAATAAATAAAAAATACTTAACTAAAAATAGAAATACTAAGAATATTTGCGATTGAAATGCTCACTGCAATGGAAAAAATGATGAATTTTGAGAAGGGAGTGCTGAAAAGGTTTTTGGCAAATCCAAGAAAACTTGTTTTAGATTATATTTTTTTAAAAAAGATGGGGGGAAAGTTGTATTCTTTGTAATTTTGCTAAACATACTTGTTAACCTCATAAAAGGTACACCCTGATGTTAATTTTATTTAACTTTCTAGTTTTCAAATGACTGACGATTTGGACAGATTTTTCTGAGAAGCTGGGAGTCGAAAGAAAGTGAACACAACGGTTGTCGAGACATTCCATTCCGAATCTGCAGCGAGACAGAGCCAGACGGAGGTTGATGATGGGTGGGTTTTCTTCCCCCCTATCATAAATCCTGACTATGCCCATGGCAGGGGTGGTTGGAGATGGCAACCCTAAAAGCGTATCCCTGTGACCTAGAACTTGGACAGTATGGGAGAGACATCCGTTTATACTGGCTTATAGCTCTTTTCCCTGCGAGATCTCAGAATCAAGCATTGCTTTAGGGCGATTCCACACCCACCTTCCACTTGCCGTACAGCGCTTTCTTTTCACAACATAATTATTAGGCTCATGGAGTCTGCTGCTGCTCCCACGCCGGTGTCAAAAGTCGACAATGGATTCAATTAGTCGGTCAGCAGAAATCCGCGAGCCTTCAAAAAGCAGCGTGAAGACTGCAATCCATCACGCAAACCGCCTTTTTTCATTTTCTGTTTCTAATCCTATCCTCAAGCAGCGCCAAGCAACCGAAAGCTGGAAGGGGAAAAGGCAAGCATTGCAAACGGCTGCTTTCCTTCTCCTCTGACTTCATCATAATCCAGCGGCGCTGAAAACCTGCTCGGGATTTCTAGCAAAAGCACTAACCGGGGCGGTTAATCAAGGGTTATCAGGGAAGCCCCCGCAATGCATGACGGGAGTTGTAGTCGCCGGCGGTTCCGAAGGGCGCAAACCAATCGCTCGCTCTTCCTCTTTCCCTGCTTGTAATGGCCGCTTCCAGGAAGGTAAGGCGAGTTTGGCTCCCGTGCTACTCAAAAGGGATCGGGGGGCAGACGGGGCGCCGGAGAATCCGCTGCAGCCGCTCTGGGGTTTCAAGTTGCCCGAATGCTTTTCAAATCGCCCTTTTCCCCGTTTGGAGGAAAAACTTGACAGGTTGAGCCCCCAAGTTGCTCCCAGTTGCAGCTTAAGTTTCTTTTCTGGCCATGTCGTGTGTCGCTGCGCGTGACTCCCAAGCACGGAGCTTTTCCCTCCTGGCCTCGGGTGGTTTCAGGATGATTTGATTTGCCTGATTTATGTGTTTTCTCCCATATTCTTTTTTAGTAGTAGGCGTTGTCCAGGACGGCTGTCAGCTTCCTAAGATCGCAGCGCCAACCACTCCAGGGAATACCGTAAATTACACAGGCTGTTACCCCCCGGTAAGGTACTGCTGGTTGTGTGTTCGTGGGACTGCCGTGTTATCCAAGCTTGCTCTCTTCCTACAGGGGTAGTTAGCCATGTTGGTTTGCTGTAGCAACAGAAACTGCACAGTCCAGAGTTAGGGCATAAACTTTCATGGGCTGGAATCCCCTTCAACCGATGCTTCCTTAAATATTAGGCATTGCTTACTTTTAAGAGATTTGACCAAACTGCGGGAAGCAGTGGAAGACAGGAGTGCCTGGCGTGCTCTGGTCCGTGGGGTCACGAAGAGTCGGACACGACTAAATGACTAAACAACAACAACTTTTAAGAGAAGTATCAAATTCCTTGTTGATTTGAGAAGGGGAGGGATCGCATTGTGCAATCCTCACCTTGTCTACTTACAAGTCAGCCCTGTTGAATTCAGTGGATCTACTCATAGCTGTCAACGTTTTCCTTTTTTAAAGGGAAATTCCCTTATTCCGAATAGGATTCCTCGCAAGAAAAGGGGGATGTTGACAGCTATGGATCTACTCCCAAGTATGTGGGTTACAGATTGTCATCTTAGTTCGCCATTTAGAATTTAGTGTTTGCTTTGTTGCTAGAAGAAAATCCTCTGCTATTGTATCCTTGTATATACACCTGTCAAAATGTTTTGCTGTTTTACTGTTTAAATGTTTTACTGTTTTTTATGGGAGACAGTAGGAAGAGGATAGAGAGTTCTGTTCCTGTTGCAGAACCCTGCCGTATTTTTATGAAGCATGTGGATGAGGGAGCTTTTCCTGCTGTGATATAGGAAGTTGCCATATACATTTATTCCATCTATGTCAGCTGACTGCTGGCAGCTCTCCAGGGTTTTGAGCAGAGAACCTTTCCTAACCAACCTGGCATTGTTGGGGATTAGACCTGAGGCCTTGTGAATGTAAAGTCTGTGCTCTACTGCTGACCCCAACCCACTTGGGGTCTCTGGCAGGCACAGAGGCAATGGGATGCTCCACCCTTCCTCCTCCAGCCTGGACACTTGCCTGCATGAGTTTCTTGTATTTTATGGCTACCAGGCTAGTGTTTAAATACATGGCTGCGTAATATAAGACTTCCCTTATTGTAAAGGGGTGTCCCTCATTCTGAAACACTATGGCCTCATATGTTGTAATGGCCATTGTTTATCTCATGCAGCATAGACCTTGAATACATTTTTTTTAAAAAAAACTTTGGCCTTGAAAATGTAAGTTTACCCCTTCCATTAAGGGGGAGGTGTAGAAAAGAAGTGTGGTCCTTACTTAGTGGACTATATTTAGCATCATAACAATAGGCCCTGCAAATATATCTTTATTTCATTAAACAGTTACTTGGCCTAAATGTTATTTGTTAAGAAATTTGATCTGGCAATATTGTCTGCATGTCCCCAAACATGCACACTGATGAATGTGAGGGTGCTTGAGGGATGGGGATAATGAAAAGCAAAAGGACACAGCTTAATTTGCTATGTTTAAATAAAGCATTGTATTAGTAAACTAACAGGGAATGTCTATTTTTAGAAACCAATAAACATTTTGTTTTTTAAATAGTGCAGTTTATGAGTTTCGACCTATTGTGCCAAAAATGGGGCAAAAATCACGTTTTGATCCACCATCTTTGGATCAAATTGGTGCCTGGCATCCTAACAGCGACTACGTTTGCCACCCCCATCTCAGAAACCCTCATGCAGAGTTTGGCAATGCTATCTCAAGAGAGAGCCAAGCCTATGCCAAAAAATGGGTGCAGTCACCGAAACGTCACGTGTCAGCCGGCCATCTGGATTCAAAATGGCAGCCAGCAACTAAACATGGACAGCCCCCACCTCAGAAATGCCTTGTGCCAAGTTTAGCAATGATATATTGAGAGGTGTCCGAATGTGTAGAGAACAGAGGGACAGACAAACCCCTTTTCAAAATATATAGTAGATGAGCTGTCATTTTTATTGTAGTTCTTTTTTTAAAAAATGTTAATGCAGATTTCACTTCAGATTATCAATCTGCAGTACCTGTTCCCTGTTTCAGTCAGTCTGCTGTGGCCTCCACATTACTCCATCTATCACCCCCCCCCCCAAAAAAAAACAGTTATTATTGGCCTGACATTTTTATAACTGAACCAGGCAGTAGAAGAGGTAGGGTCATGAAGAAAATTGTCAATAAATGAATTCTCAATAAATGCATGTTCTTTCATCAAAATAACTCAGTTGGTAGTACATAAGATTCTAACTCTCAGGGTCGTGGGTTCAAGCCCTGTGTTGAGCAAAAAGGGGGTTGGACTAGATGATCCTTGTGGTCCCTTCCAACTCTACAATTCTAGGATTCTAGTGAGCTGGAATTTCCATAACACATTAGCTATTCAAATAGTTGCTGTGCAAACCAATACATTTAGCATAGTGGCGCAAGTAATTTGGAACACTGTATTCAAATCAGTCAAATGCCCTCCATTGTGATATTTCACCACCTGCCGAAAACATTTTTATTTCGTCGGGTGTTCTTAAGAGAATTAATTTGATTCGGTGTTGGTAATGTGTTCTCTACTTTGTGTTCTTAGAATTTTAAGTTGTTTAATTATTGTATGCTGCCATGACAGTTTATAAGTATTTTTATCAATAATAAACTAACTTTAAATCCTGAGATAATAAGCAACCAATAAGTATCTCCCTCTGTCATCTTCTCCTTTCTCCCTATTCTCTGCATTGTTCAACTAATCATTCCTTCTGTTTCTGATGCTCAGGCATGAGTCCCTGTTACGTTGGTAGCCAAAATGGCAACTCTCATGCACAAGAGGAAAGTATCAGCAGACTTGGCAAAGCCCCGAGATTTTCTGATGTACAAAAATTATGGTGAAAAGCTCCTGAGAGGAGGGGCAACCCCAAACATAGCTCAGGGGAGACTGAGCATGCTCAGTGGTCAGAAAATACAAAATAACTGTGGGGAGGTGAACAGCAAGCCATGCATGAGGGGAGGGTGGGATGTATTGGCCTGTTGAAGGCATGGCTGACTGGAATAGTGAAAACGCCACACTGAAACATTTTGTTGCCGGTCCCACTTGTCTCTTTCTGATGGCTTGGAAGGTTCCTGCCAATCATAAGCAACACCTCACAAAGTGGGTGGGAGCAGGAGTACTACTTTTTTTTAGCAATACTCAAAAGTCATGCCAGTTGTGAAGTTGACAAACTTTCCCTCTCTTTCCCACCCCCACCCCCTCTGTGTTTAGCCTTTCGCGCAGGAACATCGGATCAACAATGATTGGGAACATGGGCACTACCAGGAATGCTTCCCATCTGTTCTTGGTGCTTTTATCACTCCTGATCGGGCTGCCTGTTGTGGCAGCTATGGATACGGGCGACGCATTAGCCCTACTCCTGGTTATGTTTCTTAGTTGCATTGGATTATGTGCCTGCCTGGGCTTATATGCGAGGAAACGCAACGGAGAGCTATGACTGAAGAAAAAGATGTCCCGGTCAAGCATAGCTACCTTGTTAGATGAGTTTCTGGCTGTTTCCAATACTGGAGTACGACTCATCAAATCCTTATTGCCATGCGGTGTTCAGGAACAAGGACTGTGTCTGACTGGAAGATTTTGGAGAATTGCACCCCACGCTCATAGGAAGACAAATATTTAATATTTCTTGGGATTAAGATGCTGCCTTAAAAGGGGGGGGGAGTCTTGTTTTGATTGAATAGGGGAAATTATCATTTCTGAATGTGAATTTATATTAACTGAGGTGCAGTGGAGAATTTGTGGCGGGGAGGAGAGGCAGTCTGGATGGAGATTAGTGTAAAGAAGCACCAGACTATACAGCATAGGAGAATAAATAAAGACGCAGAACTAGTTCATTTAGAAACTACTTTGATTAGCTTCCTGTGATTAAATGTGTATCTCTTTTAACTTCCCCCAAATTAATATATATATATGTTTGTTTGTGGTTAGGTCAAGCTACTGTGTACCTTTCTAGTTTTGTTATGTATTCATTTTGGGACCGTCCTGGTATAAGTAATTTTGCAGATTTTGGTTGTTTTCGGGTACAATCTATTGGGAGCATATGTTACGCAAGCTTTGTTGAAGCACAATTATGGGTTTTTTTCTGGTATTCTTTTCTTAATTTCAGTAGAACTTGCATGAAAGTTTCTGATAGATTAGGCTCTCAATTGTTCAATCAAAATATTTCCAGCGGAGGATGTTTGAATGACCAAATATATTTTCTATATGTCCTTTTTTATTACGATGTTTTATTGTTTGCAGCGTCATGTTCAGTATTTTAAAGATACTCACTGTGGTGGAAGCTTTCAGTATTTTAAAGGTGTTTAACAAGGTTAAGGGTCACTGATAACTCAACCAGATGATTATCCTGGGTCTTCAGGTGTAACTAAATCAATAAACTCCACAAGTTGTATGGTTTAAATGGCAGCATGCAAGCTTTCTTAGTTTGTGTGCTTAATTCTTCAGGGCTTGAGGAGAAAGTCTGTCTAAATTTAGTCAAGATCCCAACTGAATCCAGTGCTTAAAAAAGAAAGAAACCAACAAATAGTGATAGTGGGATAGGCATTCTTAGCCAGATCTTGTAAGGCAGTTGTTGCTTTGTGTTACACAACTGGAAGAGTCTGAACATGGCATAATATAATTAAGTCAGAAATAAGCATGGGTAGGCAACCATTGACCCTCCCAATGTTGAGCCACATTTTCTGTCATCCTTGTCCATGCTGGCTAGGGTTCCAACAAAATCTGGAGCTCTGCAGGTTCCTTGAACCTTTTCCAGTGGAAAGACCTCCAGTCTTTCGTCCCAAGAGCCCAGTAGGCATGTTTGCTGTGAGATTGTATGAAGCTTTGCTCTTTTGCAGAGGCAAGGTCTAGTCACAGTAATGTCAACCTAAGGAGGCAGGACAGAATAGGAACAAGCAGATTTACAGGCTGGCAGTCTTGGTGAGCGACTCAAGAACTTGTAGGAGGCTACTAGAAATGGGTTACAGAAGACTGAAACCACAGAGGCAGGGTGCGCCTATTCTTTTCTCTGCCATTACAAGCAGTTGTGTTTGGTAGCACCTTTGGAGTTGTTGCAAGTCTGACTTGCAGAAAAGAATCAGCCGTAGCATTTAAACAAAGAGCCTCTGAGCTGCGTGCTGGTATCTTTGTGGTAACGTTTCAAGATGTTGATGAGAGCAGGTTGAGTGGGTTATGAAGCTTTGCCTATTACTGGTCTTGCAGTCTGCCTTTCTTTTGTATTGGGTCTCGTGCAGGCCTGATGTACATAGGGAAATGTACACATCCATCAAGGGCAAACCTTCCTGCTGCAGCTATTGGCCAGCTGGTTTTCATTTACTGCACATTTTTCTAGTTTCAAAGTCACTAGAATACGCTTTCTAAGGTCCTTGCTCTATCTTTCTCTCCCAGTAAATTGCCTCAAGGCAACAAGTGGTGTAGCATCTAGCAAGCGTCACCAAGAGGTATGGTACAAGGAGTCTTTCTATAACTTCACTCTCCACTTTTGAAATCAACTCTATTAGCATGCTTTCAAGAAATTCTGAAATGTATCTGTTTGTGTCCCTCCACTCATGAAAGACTCCTTGATCCACTGGAGCAGCTTTTCCCAAATTTGGGTCTCCAGCTGTTTTCCAGCTAAGATTCCCATCATCCCTGACCACTGGTCTTGCCAGATAGGGATGATGGGAGTTGTAGTCCAAAAACAAGTTTGTGAAATTGCATTGGGGGCTTTAGTGAATAGAAGTGAGAGTTGATGCTCATTTACTCTCTTCCCCCGGTAGCCCCTACTGTAAATTTGCTTCAGGGGGTGGGGGTCCTTTGGAATAGTGTGGGAAGGGGCACAGGAGGCTGAGGAAGAAAGAGGAAATTCGTAAAAGCTGTCTCCCTCCTTCCATTCACTGAAATAATTTTGGGGAGCCAAGAACTTTCCATGAGCAGAGGAACACAATTTGATACAACCCAAAGCCTTTCCCAGCCGTGGTTCAATACAGCTTAAATGTTGTAGGTCACTGTAGAGATTCACTTTGCTTGCTTCTCAGTGTGTTCCTTTAATGTGAGAATCACTGGATATGTGACTTCTGTATGATAACCCTTTCTAAAGCAAGCCAGAGGGCAGCTGTCTTTTTTCCAACGCCTAGTAGGGAATATGAAACCAAAGAAAAAGCGTCGTTTTCCTTTCCATGGTTTGTTTTTGTGCATTGTTGAATTAGTTTTTCCTTACACAAGCGTCATACTTGCAACCCCCTCAAATGCTATCCATTTTCAGAACAGGCCTTGGATCAAAACAATAGTTTCTCTGTGCCCCTTCATTTGGTATCTCAGTTCTTACAAGCTACAAGAACAAAACCTTGGCAGTTGCGCTTGCTAGCCTGTGAGATTCTCCTCCCACCCCGGTTTTGTTTCTCCTCATATTTTTAATAAAAACATATTCTTTTCATTCTCTTTATTTGAGTGACTTGGTTGTGACAGAAGTGGGGTAATTAATTGCAAATGGCAATAATTGGAAATACTACTTTTTCTTGTTATTGGTCTCAGGCTGTGAATTAATTCTTTTTTGGCAACTTCTCTAATGTGTTATAAGACCTGACTGCCCACATTCTTAATCCCTTTTATTTAAATAGTGCAGCAGGCATAGGCTCCTGAATTTTTCAGGGTTGGGGCCCCTGTGTGAGATAAGACCTTTTGCCTTTGTGTGACAGTGTACGTGAAATTTTTGGTTATGAAATTCATTTGCAAACACTTTCATTAGGGTGAGGTGTAGGGGCTGTTTAAACCTTCCCCAGATCGCACAATTAAATTCCATTCCCCTCACTTCAATAGTCGCTTAACCCTGGTTATTGAGAGACAGCCTAAATGAAAAGATTTACAACTATATTCGCAAGATGCTCAAACTCTGGCACATCTCCAGTGGAGGGAATTTTATAGTTGTGGGCAGACACAGAGAATCCTTCTCTGCACATCTTTCTCACATTGTCATTTTGCACAGATGGTATCCTTGGGTTCTTGGTTGATGCTAGACGCATTGGGAAATAAACATTTTGAAGTGTGCGCATGAGGTTTTTACCATTTTGGGATCTAACACTCACCCCACCCCACCCCACATGCAATTGAGTCCATGCTCTAGTGCAAAAGTATGGTGTTTTGCCAATGCCTTATGTGCTGTGTCCCTCCCACCTATGGTCCCAAAGTGGGAGCCCCTTGACGTCCCTAACACCCTTGGCCACTTTATGCATTAAAACAAGCAATTCAAGACTGAAAATGTGCTTTGTAATTGTGCATATGTTAAACTAATGAAAAGAGATGGGTTGTTTTTTTTAAAGACCCACTGTTGCGAGAGCATTCTAAGTTGATTTATTGAAGCATGCAAATGTCTTTTTCTTGTATGTTTAAAAAGTGTATTACACAAAGTAGATAGCTGTACATTTATTAGGAATCTCTTCACTTCTGCTATCTAAAAGCTTCCCATTACCCTCCTGCTGCTGAAATCAAGAGGCTGCCCCATTTTGGATTTTTTTAAAGAAAGAAAGAAATGCTTCAGCATGTGTGCTTCATGTATACCCTTAGAAACCAAAGAAAAAATGCCAAATTTTATTACTTTTTAAGTAGTACTTGAGTGGTCTAAGGCCCTGGCTCACAAGTTTACGTAAATGTATAGCATTTTTCTTTACTTACGTAACAGAATTCATATTCCACTTAACTGCAAAAGCCTCTAAGCAATTTACATAAAATGCACATTGGAATTATCAATAAAAAGTCAGAAGTTAAGAACAAGTAGACTTAAAAATTCAAAATGTAAATAAAACAAGCAGTTAAAAATATGCATTTTTTTTTTTAAACTATATATTAAAGTATACATCAAGGTTACATATCTGGATAGGCTTGCCTGAACAAAAACTGTTTTTAGCAGGCACCAAAAACAGAACTGCAAGTTGTGCAGTTAACAGTTTGTTCGCTGCAAGTGGCTTAATATTAAATGTTCTAGGTGTTGAGAAGGTTGGGCATAGTGGAAATTGATGGCACCTGGAGATGCATGATGGGCTTGCCGTGACACCTTTAAAACTGTAAAAGAACCATCACTGGCGGAATGTGGCAGAGGTTTGGGTCAAGGTTGTGGTACATGAGAAGGTACTCCTCACAGGTGCCAGTATAGAACCTACTAGCAGTTGGAATGGGGGCAATTTTTGCCAGACAAATATTGTTGGGTTAAAGGAGTAATACAGTGGTGCCTCGCAAGACGAAATTAATTCGTTCCGCAAGTCTCTTCGTCTTGCGAGTTTTTCGTCTTGCGATGCACGGTTTCCCATAGGAATGCATTGAAAATCAATTAATGCGTTCCTATGGAAACCGACTTCAGACCAGGTCCGGGGACAGTCTGTCCCCCGACCTCTTCTGAAGGCTGGGGGGGGAACACAAGGGCTTTTCTTCCCACCCCCAGCATTTTAAAAAAACCCCGGGACAGCGGAGACTTCTCTGCTGTCCCGGGGCGATCTTAAAATGCTGGCGGGCGGGAGCGAAGCCTCCGCTGCCGCCCGCCAGCATTTTTAAAAACCCCGGGACAGCGGAGGGCTTCTCCGCTGTCCGGGGCGATCTTAAAATGCTGGCGGGTGGCATTTTAAAATCGCCCCGGGACAGCGGAGGACTTCTCCGCTGTCCGGGGCGATTTAAAAGCCCCTGGGAAGGCAGGCGGGGGGGAGCAAAGACTTTCGCCCCCCGCACCTCTTCTGAAGGCCGGCGGGGGGCGAAAGTCTTTGCTCCCCCCTGCCTGCCTTCCCGGGAGAGCGGAGAAAGGCAGCGCGTTTCTCCGCTGTTCCGGACGGCTTTTGAAGGCAGGCGGGGGGGGCAAAGACTTTCGCCCCCCGCCCGCCTTCAGAAGAGATCCAGGACCTCTTCTGAAGGCGGGCGGGGGGCGAAAGTCTTTGCTCCACCCCCCCCCCCCCCCCGCCTTCAAAAGCTGTCCTGGACAGGCTTCGCGGACCTCTCCGCAAGCAGCGGGAGCGCTCCCGCTGCTTGCGGCGAGTTGCCAGCATGCCGAAGCCTGCGCGCGCTGAGGCCAGCGCGCCCAGGCTTCGCGGCCCCGCCCCCCGGCTTCGGAGCATCCTTCCGAAGCTGGGCGGCGGGAGGAGGTGTTCCCACCCCGCCGCCCGGCTTCGGAGGAGGTCCGAGAACAGTGGGGAAGACGCGCTGCGCTTCCCCGCTGTCCCGGAGATTTCCCTATGGGCTGTCGTCTTGCGAAGCAAGCCCATAGGGAAATTCGTTTTGCGAAGCGCCTCCAAAACGGAAAACCCTTTCGTCTAGCGGGTTTTCCGTCTTGCGAGGCGTTTGTCTTGCGGGGTACCACTGTACACACCACAGCCCTGATCTAATGCAAGGGTCAACACAGGCACTTTAAAGCTTTTGAAAAAGACATTAGGTCATCACTAGTCTTCAAATGTTGTCCAGCTGGCCCTGAAAGAATTGCGCAGAAGAACATTTGGCAATGGCGGGACGGAAATGTTTTGTGCCGTTTGATGCCTAATAAATAGCAAGGTTGCCTCTTTTAGGGAGTGTTCCTCTCCTTTTCGATGTCAGCAGAAGTCCTTTTAAGCTCCAAAGTACAGCTCCAGCTGTTAGCCACTTAGCGAGGAGGATATAGATTAATATACACTAACAACAATAATATCATTACATCCTGAAGTGGCGAAAAGTATTCACTCGAAACTTTTCCTGACCAGATACACAGATATTCACGGTCTTTCAAAAGATTAAGTCGTATGCTTTATGAAATGCATAATGGTGCCTCTTCGCCGCAGAAGCTGTTTAAAATGCAGACTCGCTGTGCTAAGCACTGTGGTATAAACACTTAGTGAGGCCCAGAGATGCATTAAATGTGTGGGCACATAATAGCCTGCAAACAAATATTAATGGGAGCACACACACACCCCGTAGCAACAAGAAAATCCTCAAACAACACACTTGTTAGCAAATGGAACCTACCACCTAAGCTGACAGGAGGGGAAGCCGTTGCCCTCCAGAAGTTGCTGAATTCCAATTCCCCTGCCAGTTGGAAGTCTCTGGAGGGACACAGGATTCCTGATTTAAGCTGTCTGCAAACAGAAGCCTACCATCTTTCATTCCATAACTTGTAAACTGGCTAAACAATAGAGAAACTCTAGATCAGCTAAAAAGTCAATGCTTAATGATACAGGCAGGCCCATGTGAAAGGCCTTTGCTGGGTTTGGGGGCCTCTGTCATTTAATGCATCAAGTCTTCACTGGAGTCTTGTCACCCACTCAGATGTTGCATTAGCACACTTCGTTTTCCATAGCCATTTCTTTCCACCTGAAGTATCATAGCATTGAATGCATTGATTAAGGAGTCCAGACAGTCCCTCTGGAAAATGGAAATGTGGCTGTTGTTTTCTCCGGAACGGAGCAGCAAAGACGAGCATTACTAAAGCAGAGCACAGCACCATTCGTATTGACTTATGTCGAAAAGGCACACCTGATATCTTTATCACGGGATGTACTCAAGAGTTCATTATCTCATGCTTAGCCCCTGAGGCCAAAATTCTGCTTTGTGTTTCTCTTTCCAATTTTGGTACCTCGCAGATGATTTGTTTTGTGGGAATGGAAGCAAGCTAACTTGATGGGACATGGAGATAAAGAAGTCGACTGCTCCTGCTCGCATGCGAACTGGTAATTATAGTGATTCATAACAATATGTCTAGACCAAAAGGTTGCAGAGATCTGTATCATAGTGTTATGGGGACCAGATGCATCTGTACATATTAAAAATAACCCCCTCTCCGCAGAAGTTCTGGCTCTGTGGCATTGATTTCCAAGAACTGGATTCTGCTGCTCAACTGATTCACTTCCCAAGCTAAGGGTTTAACAGCACCACTGGCTTGTTCTTGTGTTGATGGTGGTGGAAGCATAACAGTGCTTGGGAGAAAGACAGCAGGAGACCACAGAAGGAAAATGGAGAGGTTCTCAGGTTGTAAACCTGTGTTTGGGCTGTATACGTTCTAGGCTGTACTGGGGAGCTGGCTTACTTGACTGATTTTCCATATAAAAACATTCCACATGTCTTAGGAAGAAGGATTCTAGCTTAGTCTTCCAGCTGAATGGAAGATGTAAAACAAAACCTCATTCTCTCCTTTATCTATTCAATGAAAAGAGAACATTAGTGGAATTTTAGCACGGATAAAAGTTGTTAAAAATAATTTTATAATAAGTTTACAGAAGTATGGAATTAAATGGAGACATTCACACAGAACATCCATAGGGGAGTCATAGCTATGTTCTTATCGCTTACTCTTTTCACAAAAAGTAAAATTAAATATTATTGTGATTCACAACGATATAAAAAGAATCCTCACTTGTTTCCAAAACAAACATTGTAATGAAAGATAGCAGACCCTCCAAGTGTCCCTATTTTCCAGGGACAGTCCCAGGTTTA